GGAAGGGCAGGAAGGGCATTAACTGCCCTGGGCAGCCTCGCTGGGGGCTGCTACCTCAGACCCACTTCATTGTCATGCTGGAGTCTTATGGTCTGGACACTTGGCTGGACCATTTCAGTGAGTAACATCAACTCATTGTTTAAGCTTCAGAGACCTCTTGGACAACAGCCTGTGTTTGGGGTGGGTTCCTAGGTGGAAATATGCACTTGTGTGCTGTGTCCTGCATGGGAAGTGAACCTTGCACAGCTTTGTCAGTTCATGGACATGTGCAAAATTGGTATCAAATAAAGAGCTTTGGGGAATGGAGTTGTAAAAACCTGAATTTAGTGTTTGACCCATGGCCCAGGCAGATGGAGATAAGAAAGTGTAACACACAATGCTAGAGGGAGCATCCCTGACTTTGTAAGGTCGTGGTCCTGAGGAAAAATCACAGAAAAAAAAATCATAGAAAAGCATTGTGGAAAAAATTCCCTTTATTTTTCAAATATGCAAACTATTAACACTGAAACTCACAGCATGAAGACAGAGTCCTCAGGAGTTCACACAGTCAGAGTGCCAGGGTGCTGTGGGCACTGCAGCCCCCGCCGTCCCCGGGCAGGGCAGAACAGGGACACAGGGCTGCAGAGCAGCTCTCAGGGGCAGCTCTCCCTCCTGACACAATGTGCAGGTGTCGCACACGTTGTGACACGTGGCCTGTCACCTGCAAATCCAGCCTATTCAGGGGTTTGCTCACTTTAATGTTGAAGAGGTGTCTCCTACGCCAAGAGGTCCTCGTGTACCTGTGCATCCAGGTAGCTCTGTTTCATCCCAAGTGTTGCCCATCTAATGATTAGAAATCAATCTGTTTGCAAACAGGAGAAACTCAGAAGGTTTCTGCACATAGGACTGCAGTAAAGAAAAGACTGAATAAACTCTCAAATATCTGATAATTTAAAAAGGCAGTTGATAAAATGATTTAATACTTTTAGTTATCAGGTTTTGAAGGCCGAGTGAGTACAAGGTCGGTGTTGGGCCTGGAAGGAGTACAAACACTTCTGTGTTCTTGGCTGAGCTCTTACAGCCTGCCTCCTTGCCAGGTCAGGTTTGTTGGGGGCGTGGGGTCCTTGGGATATGTGCAGTGAAGTCAGACACCCCAGAGAGTTGTCTCTGTACATTGAGAAGTTCTTGTTGTGTCACCAGCACAACGCAAAATCTGCATGCGCCGAGCAGCTTCCTGGGAAGCCTGGCCTTGGAAGGCTCTTTACTGGAATGAGGTGAAATGCCCTCCCTTGTTTTAAAAGTGAGACTAGTTGGGTAAATCAAGGTGGACATCAAAATGAAGTATGCAGCTGTACAGAGTGAGAGTTTAGTATTGCCTTTCCTTCATGGATTAGCAACACAAAAATTAACTCTGTGCATATGTGTGTTTGTGCACAGGCCCCCCTTTCATAGAGAAAGAGAGAGGTGTGTGTGTGTGTGTGTGTGTATATCTGCACATTCCCCACAATACTTTACTGTTTGGGTACTGTAAACAGATAGATAATCAAAATCATAAATTGTTTAACAACATGGGTGAACACCAGAGCTAAAAACTATCAGCTGAATTCTGAAATTCCCCGTGGGAAACATGGGGGACAGTATTTGACAAATGAGGCCTCTGCTGGTTTGTGCTCCATTAATCTTGTGTTGAAAGCAGGAAATCACAAATGGGAAGGCTTGGAGTGTCCTGTTTGTGGGAGGTGGTGTTGGTGCAGGGTGGTATGGAGAGCTCCTTCTGGGATGTCTTTGCATGTCTGCTAACAGCAACTGAAAACAGGTTAGACTCCTGCTGAGTTTTATTACAGAATCATTAAGATCCTTCCAGAGAGCTTTGAAAAACAGTCAGTCTGGAAGGACCCTTTGCAATATCTCTAAACCAAAAAGCACGTGCATATATTATAAAGCCACAGGGACCCTTATGATCATCTACTTTGACTGTCTGTATAACCCAAGCCATAGGACTTCCCAGAATTAATTCCCATTTGAGCTAGAGTCCAATCCAACGATCTTCCAATTAATCCATCCATCAGTTTGCCCTTTATATACAGGAAGTCTCTTCAGGATTAGAATTCAATGTTTTCTTGAAAAGTTGGACAAATAGTCTGAAAAAAAAAAGAAAAACAAGATGCTGTTCAGTACAGACCTTTATAAATCACTGTACTGTGTAAGAGCTGCACGAGCACAGGCTGGGGAATTACGAGCTGGGCAGCAGTTCTGCTGAAAATGAGGTAGGAATTACCAAGTGTTACCACTAGGGTGGAGTCAATGCTGTCATGCTGCTGTGGGAAAATAAAGCACTTTACTGGGTTTTATAAGCAGGTCTGTTCTTCATGAAGGTTTAGACTCATGTCAGCTGAGCTGTGTTCATGATAAGCTAGTGCTGTGTAGCCCACTCTAGATACAAGCTAATGCAGTGTATCTTAGAACTCTTTGATTAAGATCCAGTCTCTGGATACAGCCATCTCATCAAAGTAAGAGTCTAACCCCACTAAGAGTTAGGGAGAGGTGAACAGACTTGAGTTTGCTGTGTGCATGCATCCTGGGCAGCTTTCCTCATCAGCTGATGCATAGCATGCAGTTAAACTGCAGCGACTTCAGGCTAAGATCTACATCTTTATGTGCATGAAATAGGCTTTCCTCAGAGGCCAGCACTAATAAATCTTTAGTTGGATTCTTGTGTGAAATTTTAGTGAGTCCACTTTTAAGAAAGATGTGGAACAGTGAGGAAAAGGTCCAGAGGAGAGGAAGGTGAATGGTCATTACCTGTGAGGGTATACGGGATCTGTTTAGTCTAGAAAGGAGAAGAGCAGACATTATAATACTATTCATACAAGATTAAAAAAAAAATGCTGCAAAGAGGAGGATAATAATTTGTTATCCTGCTCCCTTGGCCCTGCTAGAGCAGATCTCTTGTCAGAATAAGCAACCTGCCTCCCAGGGTCAGCAAGCAGCCTGCTGCCCTACAGGCTGGAGCCAACTGCTGCTGAGTGGAGCTGCAAAACTCATCTGTGTACCCTGCTCTCCCAGGCACTCCGTGTGGAAGAGATCCACTTGTCCATTTACCTCAGACTCCTAACAATCATTCAGCCCACACAAATATAACACTGCCTACAGGATACGGAATGCAGCAGCATCAACATAGAATCCTGGAATTCCTGAATGACCAAAAAGAGCCTCAGGATCTGGCTTTGGACATCTCAAGAAGTGTGTTTTAGGAAGCTCTGTTGGTGCTGGGGAGCTGAGCATGGGCAGCTGTGTGGTTGTGCTTGACAAAGTAGACCCCAGGTGATGCCTCTGAGGTCTTCCTGCCTGAGGTGCACTTAGGTGCACCTCTGAGTGTAAGGCTAGGGGTTCTGGATGAAGAGGACCAGGGTGGGAAGCCAGAGTCGAGGGGTTTAAGTGATGCACTGGGTCTGGAATAATGAGCAAGCCTCAAGTAAAAGCTGCCCCATTCTGCTGTGTGGCAGGAGGCTGCCTGCTGCTGGTTCAGAGCTTGGCCGTTTCTGAAGCAGGACACCTACAGCTGTAGTAGGCCAGGAACTGTGGATCCTTTACATCCTCCTAGCTCTGTCTAGACATTCATTTTCTGGATCTTCCTGGACTGGGATAATATCCCAGGGATATATAATCCCTGCTGGTCTGTTCTCTGGAGTGAGGAACACGGGCTGTGCTCCTGCCCGTGCTGGAGAACGGGGACAGAGCATGGGGGAAGCAGGTCCCTGCCTCCTGCGTGAGCCTCTGGGATGTTTTGGATGTCATGTGGTCTTATGTCCAGGTGCATTAAACAGTAGCTGAGCTCCTTCTGGAGTCTGGCAAAGTCGTACAAGTGCTGAGAAGTGATTTGGTACTGCCTGTAAGAGACAAGGAGCTGTAGAAAGAGATCTGGAAGCACATTCTGGAGTGATGTGCCTGGAGGGAAGTCACTTTTGAAAATAGCCAAAGATGAGCAAAGGAACAGTTTCCTTAAGAGTCTTATGATGAAGAGTGAAACTGTTTTCTAAGCAAACCTGGGATGGCAGGGAGTCTTTCCTGGCATGGAGGTACCACCCAGCTGCTCAGGTGGGCAAACTGCTGTTAAATTTTTCATTTACCCTTCTGGTTTCACCAAGAGAACAGCTTGCTAAAGAGAAATTAGTTTTACTGGTGTTTGGCAGAGCTTGGTAGAGGGGAGAGCTATTTCAGAGGCTGAATAATGGATGTAATAAATTCTTAAGCTGTTTGCTGCTTTCACAATCCTTCAGCAGCTTCTCCTAATTAAAAGCTTGTTAATCTCTATCTGTGCTACTAAGCAGCACAGTAAGCCCTGTCCCTCCTGTGTGGTCCCACATCACTTGAGGAGGTAGGTGACTCTGTTGTCTGCAGCCAGAAGGGTTGCCAGAGGAGTGAGAAGCTCTCAGGAAGCATCATCTGCCTATCTGTGCAAACACCAGGACTGTGGGCAAGGAGGACGCTGCGTTGCCAGTGAAGAGCTGGACAGGAGTGCTGGGGCTCTCCAGACATCTCCAGATGGACAACACTAAAGGCTTTATGTGCTTGGGGGAAGGCACTGGCTGAGTGAAGGCTTTGCAGCTGTACCCTGGAGGGCAGGGTCATCATGGCAACATTTTGGTGCCAGTCCTGAGGTGGTGGTGACCCCAGCACACCTTGGCACTTGGCTGTGCTCACGCTTCACCTCAGAAACGGAAGAGCTCCTGGTCCAGCTCATTCACTGAGTCTTCTTTACTCAGGTCTAACTCTTGGACCCCGTAAGAATGACTGAATCAGGCTTTTGAAGAATAAAACTTGCTTTGCAGTTTAATTTTCTCCTCTTTAATGCCAGTCAGAAAGAGATGGAGGAGAAACCAGATCAGGGAAGACTGCATGTGGCAAAGGGAGGGGGAAGTGTGTGTCTGGGAGAGCAGATCTCTCCCCATCCTCCACTATGGACTTCTGTTTCAAGTCTTGGCTTTGTCCAGCACTAATCTGCACTCTGCTGCCCGATTTCACAGTGCTGTCTCAGTCCTGGGGTGCCTAGGGGTGTCGCTCTGTGGGCAAAGCAGGCGGGAGAGCTGCTCTTTCTCCTCTCTCCCAGCATTACCGAGCTCGCAGTCCTGCGCGTCCAGCTCCTGCCGGGAGAGGTGCTCCACGATGCCCGCCCCCAGGGAGTCCCCCAGCACGTTGGTGGTCGTCCTGAGGCGGTCCCTGGGAAAGCAGAGAGAAAAATTACACCTGGCTCCTCAGTAGCAGCTAAAGGGGTGAAGACTATGTCAAGAAACACTTTCCATGAGGCTTTGTCTACTTTTCAAGTCACTCTAATAATTGACACTTCAGCACTGACAGGAAAATGACTCCCAGAGAGTCTTCCTTCATTGGTCACCCTGAGCACAGGCTTCACAT